CACACTCATATCAATAACCAATCAGTTTTTGCTGACTTTACGAAGATAAAATGCAAAAGCTAATTATACCTATTTAACGTAATATTTATCTGGTCAGTTAACTATTCATTATATACTTTATCTAAGCTATATTTAATACTAGATAAATAAATGAATATTTAAATACTGCTAGAGGCAGGGAGAGAGTGCTTTCTCCTTGCTTTTGGCAGGAGAAAGCACAGTAACTTGAACGAGTGTTGACGTACCAGTTGAATCTCTTTCAGGTGGAAAAATCCCCTGATAATTATCAACTGGAACGATAAATGTACTAAGGACCAGAAGTTGTAAACCGTAGCTCCCATACAGACAATGTAACTCGACTTTGCTGAACATTGATGTAATTAGACGACTGAGTAATATATGTATACCTAAGCCTCACGGGAACCCTACGTCATAAGTGTTCAACCCACTTGAAGTGAATGGCACCCATACCGTATTCGGAGATCCTTCAGAAGATCTTGATATAAACCAGGTATTCTGTAACGCTTGTTGCATGCAGCAGTGTTGCAGTGGTCACGAGTTGCGTTATACTGTACAACACCGTGATAAAAACTGTGCTTAACGCGTCGTAAATTGTAAGTTAATGGACAGTTGTAATTGTCACGTTATTACATTAGCCTCATGCTCCACTGATGAAAAATAATTTCTCATTGTGTATTGATTGATAATTTCAGTGTTATTTATCACTTTGGTCCTTATGATAATTATTGAATAATTTGTACTCTGAATAAATAGTTTTAAAGATCCCTATAGTTAGTATCTTATATAACTATAATCAGATCTAGCTGACATTTTCATCGAAGGAATGGCGCTATCAGCAACAAAGTTTTCCAGTGGGCAACGGTAAACAATATGATGTTCAATGAGGACAAATTCCAACTACTCCGTTATGGAAAACTGGAGGAGATAATAACTAGAACAGAGTATACTACTGACTCCGGCCATACAATAGAGCGGAAAAATAATGTAAGGGACCTGGGAGTAGTAATGTCTGAGGATCTCACTTTCAAGGATCACAACAGTGCCACGATCGCACGTGCAAAGAAAATGATAGGATGGATAATGAGAACTTTCAAAACGAGAGATGCCAAGCCCATAATGATCCTTTTCAAATCACTTGTTCTCTCTAGGCTGGAATACTGCTGTACATAACATCTCCATACAAAGCAGGTGAAATCGCAGATCTAGAGAGTGTACAGAGATCCTTTACTGCACGTATAAGTTCTGTCAAGCACCTTAACTACTGGAACGCTTGGAAGCACTTGACTTGTACTCGTTGGAACGCAGGAGGGAGAGATATATCATAATCTACACTTGGAAAATCTTGGAAGGAATGGTCCCAAATCTGCACACAGAAATCACTCCCTACGAAAGTAAAAGACTGGGCAGGCGATGCAAAATGCCCCCAATAAAAAGTAGGGGCGCCATTGGTACACTAAGAGAAAACACCATAAGTGTCCGGGGCCCAAAACTGTTCAACAGCCTCCCATCAAGCATTAGGGGAATTGCCAATAAACCCCTGGCTGCCTTCAAGAGAGAGCTGGACAGATACCTAAAGTCAGTGCCGGATCAGCCGGGCTGTGGCTCGTACGTCGGACTGCGTGCGGCCAGCAGTAACAGCCTAGTTGATCAGGCCCTGATCCATCAGGAGGCCTGGTCATGGACCGGGCCGCGGGGGCGTTGATCCCCGGAATAACCTCCAGGTAACCTCTTTTCCTGCGTGAGGAATAATGTAGGTAGAGTTAATCTTAGTAAAATATGGCATTCATTCCCTTATATCAACCTTTCATTTAATTCCCAAGTGACGAGCTAGTTATTTCCTACAGAGGCAGCGCGGTGGACCTTGCCAACTGGATCCTAGTATAGCTCAAAGTATGTGATATTAGCAATAGCTAATTGTGACCATGAGTGTTTTACTCTATAATTCACTATAGCAATGGGATGGTTAGACATACATCCCGAATATTAGTGACTGTTAGAAGTAGTTGCATGGTAGAGAATGAAATTTTGTTAGTAAACAGTAATTTAATCAAGAGATGAACATGATTTAGCACAATGAATTACCCGAGGAGCTAGGAATTTACGGAGTGTGAAGTGCATTTATGTGGATTTCTAGGTAACAGTATCAAATTAAGATATATAGGCTAGTGGAAGGCCTCGGTCAAATGACTAAAAGCTCCAGTGGCGGGTCATTATATGATTTAACATCCGTAAAGAAACACTTGTCCTGTTCCTTGAAAAATCTTACCTTACCTAACCTAGTATCAAATTTCCAAGACAACCCAAAGTTGAAAGAGGTGTTGATTTGGAAATATCATCACCTGAAAGGAAATTATATTCATGACGACTTCAATTAAACCTAGCGGAATACCTGAAAATATAATCCAAGTGACAAAGATAGCTCATGATAGCTGAGGGTCTAAAATATCATTAGTGATAACTGAACTTAAAAACCCTGTCCCAAGTAACAGTCAACACATCCGTCGACTGTAATAAAAGCACTGCTGGAAATATCAAGAATTGGTTGAGACGGAGGTTCAAGTATAAGGATTGAATTTATTTTGTATCATAGCGAAACCTTATGCTAACACCTGGAGACATGACGAGGCACACCGGTGATAATTTCGCGACTCATTTGAGGAATAAAATAATTACGATTATACTCAGTAAAGGATCAAGAATTTTCATCCAGTATAGTCAATTTGGATACAGACCAAGACACTAAAATCACTAAGGACATTAAGGCAATAAAAGTGCATTTAATGGCTAAGAAAGGCCATGTAACTCGAGTGCTGGAGAAATGTGTAGACAGTAACAGGATGAAACCTAACCTTAATAAGTTTTCAACAGGATATAAGTAGCCTTCCACACGTAATTCTTGAGGTCCCACAAATTTCCTGTCCCAGTTCTTCAGCAGGAGACATTAACACGGGTTCCTATTACAAATTCAGGCCAAAGCACCCCAATTTGGCCTCAGTGACGCCGGATTATTAGCTGAATTTTCCACAACAACCAGTGTTCGCAAATTACAAATGACGTCTCTGCCATATCACTTCCCGACCGCTGCTCACCTGCACAAAATTTCTCGAAGGGTCAAATCAGCATCATTATTCAAATTTACACATGCTGAATTTAGGAAAAATCAAAATTTTCCACAATACCAATTCACTATATACTTATCTTTGGGAGAATGAGTATTTTGAAGAGGTCAGTTGATGCATTAAATACTTAGGTGTTCGTAAGTAAGTTTATTTAGGCACAGGTACACATGAGTACAATTATCATACACTGTAAATTACCTAGGATAACCCCAAAAAAAAGTCAGTGACTTATTTTTATTCGTAATGTTAAAGGGCTTCACACCAAATTATTTAGTTTTATTACATTAGTTTCCAAATTATTTAGTTTTATTACATTAGTTTTATTACTAATATTTTGGTGTGACACATGACATTACTAACGTAATGTTAGTAATGTAATGTCAGTAATACTAACGTAATGTCATGTGTTACTGAGTAACAGTGCTGGTAGTAAAAATTAGAAACGAAGATAGCAAGTGTAAAGCTCCATAGCAGCAAACGTAGAAAGAAAATAACAAATGCTCTTTTTTCCAGGGTTGAGTGAGACAGCTAATCAGCTTTCACGTAAAGCTCATAGGCTAACCTGTCTAATCTTGAAGTTGGCCAAAAAGATGCATATTCCAGTTATTACACAGATTCCAACAAAATTTGTGCTCACACAGCCTAAACCCATGAAATGATCAATGCACTTCACACGATACATCAGCCATTGAAGATTGATGCCGTTCACAATTGTTATATTTTAATCAGAGGAAAGCATATACTATCTTAAATAGGGCTGGGCTTTGCGATGAGCTAAGGTAGGATAAATAAGTTTATTCAGATTATCATACATAGCAGCATATGTGTAGAGAACCTTGGATAACCCAAAAAAGTCACTTTGTTTTACTTTTTTTGTGTTATCCTAGGTAATTTACACAATTTATGATAATTGTACTTATGTGTACCTGTGCCTAAACAAGCTAAGGTGTCTCGTAAATCGATTGCTAGCGCCCTCAGCTCCAGGCCTCGGGGGCGTTGACCCCCGAAACCCTCTCCAGGTATACACACTGAGGTCCGTGGTTCGATCCCCGGTAGGAGTGGAGACATTAGGATGTGTTTCCTTAAGACACCTGCTGTCCATGTTCGCCTAGCAGTAAAATAGGTATCTGGGTGTTAGTCAACTGGTGTGAGTCGCATCCTGGGGACAAAATTTACCTAATTTGCACTAAATGCTCTGCATAACGAGGGGCTTTCTTTGTAGTAGCAAGTTTATCCGGGTATACACAAATACAGTTACATGGATTATCATACATAGCAACATATGTGTAGTGAACGTAGGATAACCCAAAAATGTCAGACTTATTTCCATTGATTTAGCCTGCAAATTGATTTGTGTAAATAAGGTGCCTTTTCGGGGATACCTAATAAGTTTGCCCGAAATGCATTGCATACTAGTGACTTTCTTTTGTGCATACCAATGTTTTATCACATGTATACTACATTATTTGTGCATAAAATAATGTAACAAGAGCTCTCGCTTCACACGGTGAGGATCCGGGTTCGATTCCTAGCGAATGGGTGGAAACATTGGACGTGTTTCCTTACACTGGTTGTCTATGTTCACCCATCAGTAAAATGGGTACCTGAGTGTTAGTCGACTGGTGTGGGTCGCATCCTGGGACAAAAACCGACGTAATATGGCCGAAATGCTCAGCATAACAAGGGACTTTCTATATAGTAGTATGTCATTGATGTCAGCTAGACCTGTATACCTTGTACATGTACTTGTAGTAAATAAAGATAGTATTAACCAAACCATACCACGGATAGGGATAGAACCCGCGATCAGATTCTCTGATCGCGGGTTCTATTCCCGTCCGTGGTATGATTTGTTTGCAATCGTGTCATTACGATTTCGTGAGTCAAGTTATTATTATTTATTATTAAGTTGAGAGCAGCAGCGCCATCTGTTGAGTGCTGGTGAGTGAGAGTGAGTGAGGTGGCAGGTTGTGTGTGGCAGGCTGAGCCAGGCCGCCTCACCCAACACTCTTACATCAACTATGTTAGACCCAGGAGGCCTCCGCCTCCTTATTATTCCAACTTTGGTAATTATTTCATCTTTTATTTTACCAGTAGTGTTATTTTATTGATGCTAAGGCTATCACTGTTGAGTAGGAAATGTGTGAGGCGAGTGGAAACGTTCACATGGATGAGATTACATTGTTGTAGTGGAATAAGTCACTTCGTTTGACTTTATTTTTTGGTTATCCTAGATAATTTACACATATGTTACTGTTTATGGTAATTGTAGTCTCCTAAATTTGTGTAACTGTACCAAAATAAACTTAATCTAAAGACTCCAATGGAAATAAGCCACTTTGTTATGTATGACAATTTATTTAACTATTTGTGTACCTGTCCCCTCAAGGGAGGTTCCTTGACGCTGGTGAGGGGCTCTTGATCCAGGCAGTTGGACCTGACCTCCCCTTCCTTGGATAGAACCTGGGTGTATCTTTATATTTTTTGTAATACCTAGTCAATACCTTCTGTTAGACCCAACAGAATACTCCATTCTACTGAATGTACAACAATGCATACAACCATATGACCTGTCTTTGTAATACTCACTTGTGCTTTATAGTAATCTGTTTACATTAAAGTTTTATCACCGATGTCATCATTGCTTAGTTCATCTTAAGTTAATTTTAAGCCAGCCCGTAATGCTATGCATAGTATAAGTGGCTTTGGCATACTGCTCTTTTCTGTATTTTTTGTACCTCTGTATGTGTGCACAAATTTTTAAATAAATAAATAAATAAATAAATAAGCATGTCACCAGTTCCTTAAATCAAAAGCCCTCCACTAACATTAAGGCAACCCCTTAATGGACATGGTAAGTCCAGGAACTATGACTCGACTTTCTCTGCTAGTCATGGAATAGGCCCTCGAACTATATAACTACGTTCATGGAGGTGCATTAGACCCATAAGGGTCATGCAGCACCTGGGGACAAACATTCAGGTTCAGTCCAGAGAAGGGGAAGACAGGTCCATTTTCTTGGATCAAAAACCCCTCGCCATCATTATGGAACCTTCCCCTGAAGGGCCACATTTCTCTCGGACACAGGTGAAAGACACTTTCCCTTAAACCTGTTGCCTCTGTTTACCTAGCACCCCCTCAAGGGAGGTTCCTTGATGCTGGTGAGGGGCTCTTGATTTAGGGAACTGGATCTGGTTCCCTGAATTGAGCCTGAATACTTTCCATCCCTCCATGTGCACTGTATAATCCTACAGGTTTAACACTCCCTCATGATTATAATAATGTTTACCTAGCAATAAGTAGATACCTTGTCATTAGTTGACTGTGTGGGTCGCATCCTTAGGAGAAGTATTGAAGGATCCCCATGGAAATTAGGCATGGACTTGAATGGGTTATTCTGAATTATTAACATTCAGAGTTGATAAAATCATCTACCATTGTTGTATGCCTAAATCCCCAAAAGGTAGGTTCCTTGATGCCACTGAGAGCCTTAGTCCAGAGAATTGGACCTGTCTTTCCCTTCCTTGGATCGAACTTGTTGCCTTTCATTCCCTCAGTTCCTGTACAGCATAATGTAAGTCATATAGGCTGAACAGTCTGCCCCTGCCTCCCTCCAATTAATGTTATAATACAGTACCACATACTCCGAAACATTTCAGGTGTTAGTGTTGCTTTATAGAGATTACCGCTGCAGTAACTACTATATTCTGGAAGTAACTGACAGGACTATTTCTAGCACAGTTAGAGAAAAACTAGAAAATTGTGATTAAGACACTTGAACACTTAACAGTTGATTATTGAAACGTTTCAATCCTGGGATCTTCACCCGCTTTATAATGTCCCCAAGACCAAAAGTTTTCATAATAAAATATCCTAATTCCTAAGCAGTTCCTCCTGTATCTTTAACCACAACTTTTCAGGTTCTCACAAAAGTAGAATGCTCGTTGCTCACAAGTAATAAACTAGGACAGAGGAGCATCTACTTAAAAGGTCCTACTCTTGCCAACCCATTCCCAGTTACACATTTTTCTACCCTAATTTAAATATATATATGAAGTTCACACTTCCATGACTTGCCTGAGAAATTTATTCCTTTCTTCTACAGCCTGTGCTTTTCTTCGTCCTTTATAAATCAGAATTGATCTGACTATTGTAATCTGTTGCTGCAAGATTTATCTTGATTAGATAAAATAATAGAAAGTATATACTAATTGTTACAAGGTAAAGGTGAATGGTGTATTAGGCATTATTTAAATGCCCATAACAATGCCCCAACAATTATCTTATATTTAGCATCACTTCTTGTAACTAGCTTCATTCCCATCATAATTTTTATTTAAGTTTTATTTTGAATTGTACCGAATACCTGAAATATTGTATAACCTAAGTATTCTCGTGTGCCTTGTTAGGATTTTGTTTATATACATCTGGAGTTTACCTGGAGAGAGTTCCGGGGTCAACGCCCCCGCAGCCCGGTCTGTGACCAGGCCTCTAGTCATTCTCACTAAATCAGTTCTGCTGTAAATAATATTAATGTCTTGTATTCATATGTACATGTAAAATACTACTATCTTGTCCTGTTATGTAATAATAGGATGAGATTATTGTAATTTTTATTAGAATTTTATTTTGAATTAATGGAATAATCTTTATATAGTAAAAGTGTTCTTATTCCCATGTAACTTGTGATTTTATCTGCTTCATATACATTTACTGTATTTAATATTCATATAATTTATTTTGTTGTGAAAAATCATTATCTTGTATACATATATGTAAAATACTATATAGTCCTTTTAGACAAAAACTGGGTTTAAGCTTGCCCAAAATGCTCTGCATAACAGAGGTGCTTTCCATGTGAGAAATGTAGCGTCCAGTTTTGTACAAACTATGTATCGTGGAAATGATTGATACAGAGCATTTATAGCATCCTTAAACTAGGACTACTGTACTAGTAATCTTAGTTAATGTGGAACTTTAATATGATTGCAAGTTTTCATAGGGTATAAGCGTATAGAAATAGGTTAAATTATTTTGTGACTTGTGTACATAAGCTATCAAACAGCAATGGGTGGTCCAAAAAGGTGGAAGTTGGATTTTTAAGCCTCCACCCAGTGAAATTCTGGCTACACCACTGTCTGGGGCCACATTTCATGAGCAGAGCCCACAACATTTGTGGAAATCCCAGTTTTTTTTTACAGATGAATCAGGTTCTGACTTTTTTTTTTTTTTCAGGAAAGTTAGATCATTGAACATGTATGCTGATTCTCTCGGCTGTTTAGAATTTCAAGTTGCTGCAATGGTGGTTTATTGATGCATTATTGTCAAGCCAGAATGTGATTGTGTGTTAATATGTATTGGTTTAGATGTGGTCTAATGAAGCAACTATTTCAGTAACTCTTGTTGGTTTTATATTAATATGTAATTTTACATTGTTTAGGAATGCTGCTGAGATGAGATTAAAATTTCTAGCTATTATAGGACATTGTAGCCTGTTTTGATTATATTGGTGACATTTTGTGACCAACTTGCATGCATGGTGAACTACAAAGTGTGCCTGCCTTGACTAGACTGATTTGGGCAGTGTTCAAATGGGAGTCATGTGACACTAGCATGATGGATGGAGGGATGGTACATACAAGGTATTGGCACATATATGTGCTACACAAGTGTTGTACCACTGACACAGGGATTGTCAGTGTCAGTAAAGCATAATCAGAAGCCATAAACCATAAACCATATTTTTTTGAATTCCAAATACCACATTAGCATTTTTCAAGGGATGATTTTAAACCTTACGGCATATTTAAAATATCAGTGATCTAAATACTATACCAGCTAACCATTCTATTACCAGTTCTCTCTAATCAGTAGTTCTATTAATTTTCCAGACATGCATAGCTGAGGCACTGCAAGAGTTTTCCACTGAAGAGTGTTTTGCAGTGGGTTTAAACAAGGCGAACCTTCTTTGTTCATCATGCGATACCCTGAAGGAGTTCAATCTTGATATTTTAGAGTAAGTAAAATTATTTTATTAATTACTTAGTGCACTGTTATTTTTAGTGCAGCCTTTTGTATTGCTCTAATATGGTATTTGCTCATTTGGGCATATCATTGATAGGGATTGCTTCTCTTGTTGGTAAAAAAGAAAACAATCACTACCACTTTCCATTAGATCACCTGTGTTAATGAAGACTAATACATACAAGCAGCTAGTATGTTTGTAAAGGTAGCTGGTGCCATGAGCCAACAACCTGGGATGGGAAGGCAGCCTTTTGGGATTTTCTCGCACTCCTTGAGATTAAGTCCCAGCTGCAGGTAGGCTTATCAACATCCCTTCAAGGCACTACAAACTGGTCGTATCCCACCGAAGCAGGGTGACCCAAAAAGAAAAACAAAAGTTTCTTTTTAACTTTGGTAATGTATACAGGAGAAGGGGGTTACTAGCCCCTTGCTCCCGGCATTTTAGTCACCTCTTACAATGTGCATGGCTTATGGAGGAAGAATTCTGTTCCACTTCTCCATGGAGATAAGAGAAAATAAACAGGAACTAGTAAGAAAATAGAAGAAAACCCAGAGGAGTGTATGTATGTATATGTATGTAAAATGGTACCACCACTGTAACTGGACTGTGGACCCTCATCCTCAGAGAAGACTATAAACATACCTCAGGGAAAACTCAAGGATCTCGCCGGAGCTGTTGGAATATTTTCTTCTCCTACCACCCTCATATATATATTTTTTTTTTTTTTTTTTTCAACAAGTCGGCCGTCTCCCACCGCCCAGGGAGGTACTACCCTCCTACCAAGTGAGTGTGAAATGATAGCCTGTAATTGTTTTACATGATGGTAGGATTGCTGGTGTCCTTTTTTCTGTCTCATGAACATGCAAGATTTCAGGTATGTCTTGCTACTTCTTCTTACACTTAGGTCACACTACACATACATGTACAAGCACATACTGTATATACACACACCCCTCTGGGTTTTCTTCTATTTTCTTTCTAGTTCTTATTCTTGTTTATTTCCTCTTATCTCCATGGGAAAGTGGAACAGAATTCTTCCTCCGTAAGCCATGCGTGTTGTAAGAGGCGACTGAAATGCTGGGAGCAAGGGGCTAGTAACCTCTTCTGTATATATTACTAAATGTAAAAGGAGAAACTTTTGTTTTTTCTTTTGGGCCACCCCGCCTCGATGGGATACGGCCGGTGTGTTGAAAGAAGAAAAGTATGTGTTTGTATGTATATTTTTTTTTTTTCAACAAACCGGCCGTTTCCCACCAAGGTAGGCTGGCCCAAAAAGAAAAACAATTTCTCTTTTTAAATTTAGTAATTTATACAGAAGGATAATGTATGTATATATGTATGTATATATGTATGTATATATGTATGTATATATGTATGTAATATGTATGAAATATGTATGTAATATGTATGAAATATGTATGTAATATGTATGAAATATGTATGAAATATGTATGAAATATGTATGTAATATGTATGTAATATGTATGTATATATGTATGTGTATATTATGTATATATGTATATGTATATATATTATTTTTTTTTTTTTCTCAACAAGTCGGCCGTCTCCCACCGAGGCAGGGTGACCCAAAAAAGAAAGAAAATCCCCAAAAAGAAAATACTTTCATCATCATTCAACACTTTCACCACACTCGCACATTATCACTGTTTTTGCAGAGGTGCTCAGAATACAACAGTCTAGAAGCATACACATATAAAGATACACAACATATCCCTCCAAACTGCCAATATCCCAAACCCCTCCTTTAAAGTGCAGGCATTGTACTTCCCATTTCCAGGACTCAAGTCCGACTATATGAAAATAACCGGTTTCCCTGAATCCCTTCACTAAATATTACCCTGCTCACACTCCACAGATCGTCAGGTCCCAAGTACCATTCGTCTCCATTCACTCCTATCTAACATGCTCACGCACGCTTGCTGGAAGTCCAAGCCCCTCGCCCACAAAGCCTCCTTTACCCCCTCTCTCCAACCCTTTCGAGGACGACCCCTACCCCGCCTTCCTTCCCCTATAGATTTATATGCTTTCCATGTCATTCTACTTTGACCATTCTCCCCAAAATGCCAAACCACGTCAAAACCCCCTCTTCTGCCCTCTGACAAATACTTTTATTAACTCCACCCTTCTCCAAATTTTCCCACCTCCGAATTTTCTGCATAATATTTAAAACAACATTGCCTTAAACAGGACATCTCCACTGCCTCCAACCGTCTCCTCCCTGCTCATTACCCCAAGTTCGCCACCCTAAAAAGTGTTGGTACACTATACTTTCAAACATTCCCTTCTTTGCCCCCTTAGATAACGTTTTTTGACTCCACTTACCTCAACGCACCACTCGCCTTTTTTCCCTCATCAATTATGATTAACCTCATCCTTCATAAAACCCCGCCGACACGTCAAATCCCAATATCGAAACATTCACTTCTTTCCCAAACCCCCCCCCCAATTTGATATCAATTTTTCTTTTTTCTAAATCATTTTACACCCTCATCACCTTTCCTTTTCTATGTCACTTTTAGCTTTCTTTCCTTTAACACATTCCCAAACTCTCACTAACCTTGGCATTTTTTTTTTGAATCTCCCATAAGCCAGTTCACAGCAAAAAGTAACTGTGTCAATTCCCTTTTAAATTTGATTCCCCAAAAATTTATCCCACCCCTCCCCCAAAACACCCTAGCTTTTACTTTTTTTAAACCCCATCTAAAAATATTAAAAAACCCATGGTGCATTACACATCCCTGTCTAAGCCCTATTTTCCGGGAAATAGTCTCCTCTCTTCACACACCCTAACCTGAGCCCACTATCCCATAAAAACTCTTTAAGCATTTAATAACTTCCCACCTATTCCTATACTTGCAACATTGCCACTTGCTCCCTATCCACTCTATCATATCCCTTTCTAAACCCAAAAAAAGCAAAAAAAACCCTTCCCCCCTTTTATCTAAATAGTTCAAAATTTAGTTTCAAGTAAACACTTGATCTACACATCCCCCCCCCATCGAAACCTCCTTGTCCGCAACCCTAATTCTGTCTTACCTCTAATTCTTTAAATTTAAACCCTCCCGGCCTTTTTTTCCCTGGTATACCCCAAAAGCTTATTCCTCTATTTTTTACATCCTTTGTCCCCTTTCCCTTATTTAAAAAAAAGGGGGACTAACATTTTCCTGCCAACCCCTAGTACCTTCCCCTCTTCTTTCATTTATTAACAAAAGTCCCAAACCACTCCAACACTTTATCCCCCCCTGCTTTAACTTTCTGCATGACCCCATCGTTCCAGCGTTTTAAACCCCCTTTCATTTTCGAAAGCCTCCGTACCTCCCCCCCCCCTTACATTCTGCTCTTCTTCACTCCTAAAAGATGGGATCCTCCCTGACCAGTGCATGAAATTACTGCCCCTTTTTTCTTCCTTTAAAATTAAAAGTTCCTCAAAAAAAATCTCGCCCTCACCAAACCTCCTCTCCCCCCCACTAACTCCCCCACTCTGTTTTTTAAATGACAAAACCTTTTTCCCCTTTGGGTTTCTTACTTGTTTAACTCACCCCAAAAATTTTTCTTATTTCATTAAAATTCTTGACAGTGCCCCTCCCACTCTATCATCTGCTCTCCTTTTGCACTCCTCACCCCTTCCCTTTTCCTTTTTTTACTCTCCAATATTCTGCCCTTTTTATAACACTTCGCTTTGTAAAACCTCTCAAAGCTACCTTTTCTCTTTTATCACACCCTTTACTTCATCATTTCCCCCAATCATCCTCTTTTCCCCCTGCACCCACCCTCCCTTTAAACCCAAACTTCTGCCCCACATTCAAATTTCTGATTTTAAAACTTTTCAAACCCCCTTCAACCCCCCCCTTACTTTTCTTTTCACTTCCCACCTTTTTTGCCAATAGTCGCTTAACTCACCCAACTTCCTCCTCCCTTATTTAACACTTTTACCTCCCTCTTACTTTTTTGTTGCCACCTTCCCTTTTCCCCTTTAACCTCTTACTTAACGTCACAACAAATAATGACCCGATAATCAGTTCCCCTCTAAAAACATGTAACCGGGACCCTCATCAACCTTTTATACCAATAATAATCAAAAAACTACTTTTTTTTCGTGCTACATCATACCTTTATATTTATTTATCCTCTTTTTCAAAAATTTATTATTATTACCAATTTTTTCCAATAGTTTAAATTTAAAGGCTCCCCTTTTACATTTCCCCCTGGCACCAAAAAAAATTTCCCACTACTCCCCCCCATAACATTTTTCCCCACTTAGCATTGAAACCCCCAACCACCATTCTTCCACATTTGTTTCAAAACTCCCCACCATTCACTAACTTTTCCCCCAAAATCTCTCTTTTCCCCCTCTACACTTCTCTTTCCCGGGGCTACACGCTTATTATAACCCATTTTCAATAAATCTTTATTTTACTCCAATAATCCTTGAATTAACTTTTATAGTCCCTCTTTTCCTCCCATTTATCCTTCAACTTTATTGCACTCCTTTTTTTTAGCTTAACTCATTTAAAAACCCCGCCCTAATCCCATTTTTTCCCTCCACTGAAACCTCCCACCCCCTTCAGCTTTTTTTCCTTAAACCCAGGAACCCCAGCTTCCTATTCATAACATCCACAACATCTCTTTCTTATCATTCCCAAAACACCCACGCCTTTTCAGACTTCCCACTTTGAAAATTTTCTTCTTCTTTTATATATAATATTTTATATATATATATTATATATATATATTTAATATAAATAATAATATATATAATATATATATAAATGGAGTGTCAGCGGAGGGTCTATGAAAGTGAGGTAAATCTAGAATTGATGGGGGAAAAAAAGAGTGAGGGGTGCATTGGGAGTCTGTGGAGACAAAGTTTTGCCTTGGGGGCAAAGGGGGGAAGTATGAGAGTTAGTTTTACCAAACGCTCTTTTTTGGGTGTAAGGTGGGTGAAAATGTTGCAGCGAGGAGAAGGCTGG